GAATACTCAGACGCATCAATCATTTTTTCAACATTTTCAAGAAAAGCGTCCCAAATGCAAACACAATTTGAAGGTCTCTCCCTTTCTCTCTACCTTTAAGAGAAAGTCAGTATTGAATTTTGAGGAAAAAAGGTCTCTTTTATAGAGTCTCCTAAGCTCCAACATATATAGACAGTAAGGTCCACCAAAATAACTCCTCCAGCAACAACAATAAGCTGCCTCAGGGGTCAAAAACTGCTTTCAACCTGAGTGGACAAAGATTGCTTCCTATTTATAGAAGCGATTGCAAATTACTTCATGAAATGGTGTTAGTTAAGAAGGTATGCTGCAAGCTGCTTGTCAGAACCCACAGGAAACTCATAAACATCCAGGCTATATATGAATCTTTAAAAAAATGTGTTAGAAGCGAAGGGATCCACTTTCCTGCATTTAAATGTGTTAAGGTATGCCAGTACATTTCTTTAGAACAAAGCCTGCTGTTTTATTATTCAGCCTAAGTTTTTCTTTTCCTTTCCCCCTGTCAGCTGGGAAAGTGATGGATTAATTTGCTCAAAAGCAAGTTTCAGCAATGTTAAATTACAACCACTTTTCTATTGCCTTTAAAAGCAGACATTCAATTTAGCAGCAGCCATGCCACTCAAAAGTAGAGCTGAAGGTGACAGATAATAGGGAATGTGGTAATACGGTTTAAATGTATTATGTTGTTTTGAAAACTATTGAGATTTCCAGGGCAACCACTTCTGTTTGAGTGATAATAGCATGGTTACGGCAAAACCGAAAGAGCAGCCAGTGAGGGACTCTTTCATTGCCTTTAAAGGACTCAGAGGTAAAATGTGACTTTGAATGGTTTCTGTTATCAGACCCTCTAAATGCCCCTTAACTGTCATGGTTCAGTCCTCTAAAGAAACTTTAAACAGCACTTTTCAGTTGTGCTTTTATAGAAAGCACTATAAAAATATCAAACAAATCAAAAAGATATCACACAGGCCTCTGGAAACATTTTGTGCAAAATTAAATGGGTGGGGGGGAGTAGTATTACAGATATAGTTACATAAGCCTAAAATAACTGCGGGTAACTGCTATGTCCTCGACAGATCACTGCAGCTGAGTCAAACCTGCTCTTTCAAGATTCAAGGTTAGTGAACAGTGTACAGTAGCGCAGGATGTACTTAGAGATGACATGTGTGTATTCCGAAACAATCTGTTTATTCTCTCTGGGGTCTGGAGAGTGATATCTGAGCAGTGAGAGGCATTTCTGCTGCAGCAAGCCATGATTTCTTAGGAAGAACTGTTTACTTATCCTTGGCATCACTGGTATAGTGGAACCTCTAAGTAACCGCAGCGTGTTGATATTACACAGGAAACAGCTCTCAAAAGTCCCTGAAATTTGTACTAATTGCACTGTATTTGTATATAAGAAGACAATACCATTACTCTGGGGATATGTGCATGATTGCTTCATATTTAATGGTGTGTTTGCACATGAAACTAATGACAAATTCCATTTTAATCTTATTCTCAACAAATGCACACCAACCTCCACTTACAGGTTTAAGCTCTCAACAATCTAACCAAAAAGCAAAGGCATATTATGCATTTAGTTAAAGTTGGTTCAAAACTACGGGGAGGCACAAACCCAGCCAGAGGGGGATCACAAGCCGGGATAAATTGGAGGGTCACATCAGGAAGGACATCCAGTGTAAAATCAGTGCCAAATCGAGTACGCAGATGCGTCCGCTGAGGCAACCCTTCAGGAAATAAGAGAGCAGCCAAAAGTACTTTCTAGTTTACAAATAAACTTAGTCTATCATGTGATATTTAGCCATTAAAAATTTGTAAGACAATTTTAAACTATAAAATTAAGTAAGGCAAGCTTCCTTCTTTGCAGTGTTTTTGGCACATGAACCCTGAGCTGTGAGGACAGTCATTCACCAGGCTTTCTTTATAAAGTGCCCCTGAAAAAAATAAGATCAATTCTTACATGATAACGTGATTTTAGAAAAGCACAATCCAAGCAGGAATTACTTGGACAAAAGGTATTCTGCAGAGCAGATTAGTTTTATATAAGAGAATTTTTAAGGCGACTCGTTTATCTTATGCAAAAGTGAAGGGATAGGAAATAAAATCCATTGTAGTTTTCCACCTACGACAGTGCCTAGCCAATATGAGGAAATAAAAAAGCAAATTACAATCCTTCACTGTGCGTTGCTGAGACAATCTTCTTCTTTTCTATAATTTTTGCTGACTGTAACAAATATGAACTGTGCGTGTTGGGGATCCGGAGTGGGGGGGCTCGGCCTCAACGCATCTCCAGGGACAACTGAGACAGATCAATTTTAATTACCCAGTAACCTCTCAGAGAGCATGAGCGTAATGATGAATCAAACAGCTTGGATGGCCACTCTTACCTCAGGGAACTCCCTGAACAACTGATACAAAATATAGCTCAACTCCCACGGATGCAAGCAGAGGAAAAGAGGGGTTATGAAAACCTTTAAGTTACTTTATGCAGTAAGGTTCGACTCAGCTAAAGGGTGACACTTAGGATGAGGCCGCCAGAGGAGGTGAAGAGGAAACATGGGTCTAACCTGCGGCTGTGTGAGAGTGTGAGGGAGTGATATGAACAAGAAAGAGGGGGAGGAGACAGACGGACAGAGGGGATGCTGCAAAGGGAGCTGTCACTGCCAACTGGATGCTCATACTGGAATAGGAGCCATGTTACATTTCACAGACAAAGACGGTGCCTGTTTGCTTTGTAGCTACAGAAACTACCTGCCACACATTCTCCTGCCTAATCTCTCACCGTGACCAGAAAAATTGAACCGTCTCGACAGTACTACAGTCCTGCTTATTCATAAATGGCCAACTACAAAAGTTTTCATTGTGATAAGTTACTGCAAAAATCTAAGAGGACAGAAAAACACACACACCAAAAGCACAAAATGTGCTGCTGCAGCAGAGCAGTTCAAACCAACAGCTCTGTGCCCACTCTTCAGTATGCTCGAGCGTTTGTATTAACAAGTAAAGCAACACCGCATTTCTGATAAGGGTAATTCACCATTAGCAAGCATCTCTTGAACAAAAACAGAAAAGAAGCCCCCTGCTTTTGAATCCCTCTGCTACTGAAGCCATACTGTGTTTCGCCTTGAGGCAAAATTCAATCAACCAGCGTAAGAAGCGTTGCCTTCATTACAGCGAAATGTCTATGGTGTCACTAGGCAGCTTAAAACGATTTAAGAGGCAGGAGGAATCTTCTGCTGGTTTTCTACCCCTCTCCACATCGCATTACATGTTGTTTAAAAGTCTGTTCCAATCAATCCCCTTTAAAAGGCCTTTTATGGGAGCAGAATTAGCCTCAGGGCTATTTTTAGAATCAAAAACATTTCATGTTTTCTGACCAGTCGGCCACACAAATGCTGTGTAGGAGAGGTATTTTAACGTGCTCTACACACAACCAAATCTGCTTCACACCTTCTTAAAAAAATGCTTATTCAAATACACAAATGTTATGTCTAAGAGTATTACTACTATAGCAGATTGCAATGACTGACTTTAAATTCCATGTCTTTGATTGAGCAGTAAAAATAAAATATTCCACGTTGATTTTGAATGTGTAATTCAATTAACTACCTTCTTTTCTGGATCAGCACTCAGCTGCTTTGGATGTATGTTCCTAAATCACTTTCAGGTGACTAATTCAAATTCATTGGGCTGTAAAACTGCAGGTGATCGTGCTTTAAAAGCAAGCGTTCCTTGTTCTGGTGATAGATCGTAATAATTATGAATGAACCAGATTTTAAAAAAAGGCTGAGTCGAGGGAGACAGAGAGTTGCTTTAAAGTAGCCTACATGTGGGATTCAGGGTGAGAGCAGGGAACCCTGCAGCCTCACGGGTATAGTCATTTAATCTGACTCCACAGAGTACATCAAAGAAATTAGCAGCAGAGACATGACGCATTAAATTAATTTTAATTAAGACATTTCTCAAGAGGATGCCGAAAGTGCAAATAGAGAAGGGGAGATTCTTTCTTTTTTTTCTTTGAAGACTAAGTTGACATGTATTTGTAAGCATGCATGAAACAAAGACCCTATCGAGCTATTACTGGTAATCCACTGTGTGTTGTTACAGTGAATATACCGTCCAGTATTTCTGAATGATTACGTTGACTAGCTGTGAATGAGCAAGAGCAGAGTACAAAGGAAGATGGATAAGCGGTCAAAGCCCATATATCTTTCTTGTATCCAGTCCGCACAAACAAAGTGTGGATCCAGTGTATCCGTCCTGGCAGAAGCAAACAGTGAATAATCAAAGGCTCTCTGTAGCCAAATGAGTGTCCCCGTTGACATTTCATTGTGACCGGACCTGCAGTTTAAATGCATTTTCTGCCAACATAAACTCTCACACAGTAAAACACAAAGACTGGCCGGGAGACTCTTTGAACATGACTGTTTAAACTTTCAACAACGTTACACACTTTTAAGAAGAATTTACAACACAGCCAAATGTGTAAATCAGGGAGGGAGAGAGGAACTGTGTTTGAAGAAGGCCTGGTGAACTGTTTAGTGCCAAATCCAAGGACCTGAAGTTTGTCCAGGTCACTGATAATTAAGACAGAAGGGATGTGAGCTGCCTCAGTCAATTCTCTTCCTATAGGCATCCATAGTATAACTGACATAAACAAATCAGTAAAACACAGTGAACCTGGTTTAAGCCTGATTAGGTGATAAATCTCAAACAGTTATTCTAGTCATTCCAATTCTTAAACATTCAAATAGTAAGTGAGTCCAGTGAATATTCTACATATGTCTCTTTTCTCTACATCAATTTGAGTTGAATTCCGAATATAACTAATCCGGATTGATATTTATGTGATTTTTAGTGAATTTTCCTGGCTTCTGGTGCTAATAAAATTCCCACAACTCATTGGATAAGCAGCTGAATGTGAAGGTGGAATCATGTAGTTTGTCAAGTGTAACTTTCATTCAGTGGAAGTGAGACTAAACGCCTGGCTGACTTGCTTGCTAAGATGTTTTTTTTTCTCCCTTTCCTCTTGCAGTGCCACTGTGTTCGATGCGTCTCCAAGTGCGCACAACCCGTCTGCAGCAGCATTATTCCGCAGACCGCCTGCCAGGCATCTGGCTGCTCTGCGTTTATTTCTGGAGGCGCTGCTTTTCGCTCAATCACCTCCAACAGGTGGATAAGAACACTGGTGGATGTACATCCTGGGGAAAACTGGAGGTGTTGAAAAACCAGGTGTAATCCACCGAGGGAACTTGGTTGTTGTTGCCTATTTTCGTCTCCAGGATTTGTTGCGCGGTGAGTTTAATGCGGTGTGAGCCGGTCTGCGTTTTTTCCCGCACCTCCTCCTTAAAAGACGGAATGGAAATCGTGATTAAACCTGACCAAATGTGGATTCTCAGGAGGAGTGCTAAGAAGTATCCAAAAAACGAGAAGGAAGAATGCGTACTACACTAAAAAAAAAAAAAAAAAAAAAACAACAGGAAAAAGACGCGCTGACATCTCTAACACTAACAAGCGGGATTTTAACACTGCTGTTTCTACATTTATGGGGATACAAATTCCAAGAAGTTGAGGCGAATTATTTTCATGCTGTTTTCCACAGGAAGACCACTGAGCTCCCTGAGCGAAGTTCCAATGTCCATCATCCCAAAGGTTTGTCATTTGCTTCTGTGTACTACTACTGATCTTTGACTATATAAGGCTCTTCAGCAGACAAGAGTAAGGCATGTTACCCTCGGAAGGTTTCTGATAAAAAAATTAAAACCGTGGCAGTTTAATGATTGTTTTCACTCGTACTGTAAGCGCAGGATGGGCTTTAAATATGCTGCATGGTCTGTTGGAAATCCATTCGATGCTACTTGAGAACTACAACTTTCAGAATAAAAGATTCCCTGCCGTGGCGTTGGTGCGCTGCTGCACCGTGTAATCAAACAGCTGAGATTTCCCATTTCCAAGTAATGCATTGAATTCGGCAAACTCATTAGGGGAAGAGAGCCAGTGCACAGAAAGGCTACCTCTGTATGTGTGCATGCGTGGTTGTGTGTATTGGCTCGTGCGCTACTGAGCGTGGGCGCCTGCGTGTGCGTTTCAGTATTTGCACACAGAGCTATCAGCAGGCCGTACCTTTTGTAGTGTTTCTGCTTGGTTGGCAGCTTCCCTTAATAGCGGCTGTCTTTTGAGGCAATTTCTGTCGCAGGTTCAAGCAAGCACCAGAAAATATAACATAACCCTCACATTGCAATATGTGGCCTGATCTAATCTGTGTGTCAGATAAACACTAAAACACACTCTTATCTAAAACATTATAGTATTTTGGCAAACAAATGCAAACCAATATAGTTAGGTCACAGAGAACCCCGATGACGTAACTTACTGTGTTGTTTTTGAGCAAAATTAAATTATAATTTTGTTTTTTTAAACACAGATATACATTGTTTTGTTTGGCTTGTCCTTTGCTACTTGTTTTTATCGTAAACCACTTGTTGTACTGAAAGCAGAGTTTAGTTTTCTGCTAAACAGACTCCTTATGTTGACAGTTGCATGCAATTACTTATACAGGTAAACTGGTCTCTGTAAAATCAAACTAAGGATCTCAGATGAGGTATGAAGTGCTGCCATCAAAATGCAGGTCCAGGCAGGATCAAAGGAAAATATTGTTTTCCTTTAATATTATCCACTTTTAATACTTTTACCCTCAATCTTAAACATTCTCTGCTCCTATAGATGATCAATCATGTTCAACATCTGAATTCTTAACAGCAGACTGAAAAAAAAAAGTTCTCACACCTAAAACTGAAAGCATAACCAATCACACAGCTTGTTTATTTAAATTAAATCTTTGTTACAGTGTTTTACAAAGTACCCTTATCCTCCTTTTAACTGTGGCTAATGCTAGAAGATTGATATCACACTGATGATTATGAAAGAAGGACTTGACCACTTGAAGCAGATTAACTCAGAAAGACAGGAAACACAGGGGAAACAAACTATATCCAAACCTACCATGTTCTCATATCAGTAAAAGAGCCAATAATGATATCATCAAAAGTTTTGAACTGTGCCTTTAAATGTGCTATTTTAGGATGTGGGACTATGGACACAGCATGAATATTTTTACTCATATTTATTAAAGAAATCGCTGCATTTCGGCTTGTTCTCATAAACTAATTAGCTGCTGCGGGTCCAATCATTATTTTTCAGATAGATGCAGTAATGAGTTGTCCTGAGACGGTGGGAAGAGAGAGAGGGGAGCCTTTAGGCACTAACTACTTGAACCTCTTGTTTTTTGTTATGTTTACGACTGTGCAGCGTTTTCCACTTAATGTTGTTTTTGACTCACCTGGTTTATATTTCGCCCTCATCTCCAGCACTTTCTGTGTTCTTGTCTGCTTTGCTCATTTCGGTTTTAAATTCTCTGAGGGCTGTCAGAATATCTTGGAAATATGTTCAGAGGTGACAGTCGACACATCCGCACAGATGCTAGTTTTCAGTCATTATTATGGTTGCTCCAGTTTTGAATTTTAAAATGGGTTTGTGACAGAAGCATTGTACTAAAGCTGCTTTTCACATGATTTAAACAATATTATCTCATCTTTTTATCTACATTCAGTATTTCAATGTTACAATATATTTAGAGATGTTTTAGATTGTGAAGAAACCAGGGACTGTTGCCAGAGGAAATAAAACAAAGTGCATATTATTTGAGAAGATGCAACGTGTCAGTCAACTAGTAATGATTAAGCACATTACATAAAGCAGTTAGAAATTTGAGATTTAATGAATCGTACCATCCAGTGCAGCTGCAAAGTACTGTCCTGCAGTGTGTGCTGTGTATCGTGATGGCTGTTTGTGAAACATGTTCAGCAGCAGCAGCCGCTGTCATGTCTACGCTTGATCTTTCTGCTTTATATTAGAGCTCTCTAACAGGACACCAGAGGAAAACAATGCAGTGGAGGTGTTTTTGATTTCTTTCCTACCTCACAACTTAAACATTTTTATCCTTGATTTTTGCCAGCATGTAAACATTGCCTGACGTTAGATTCTGAGCGCTTGAAACTTACTAAATGCTACAAGAACAATAAAAGGCAATTTTTTCTTTATTTCCAAATAAAACCATAATATTTAAATGGTTTATCATGTGTTGAGCTCGACATCTGTTTAGGCTGTTCTCCACCTCTCACCCCATGACAGCTGACTCCTGACTGTCTTATTCCACTTGTCTACTTGTCATCTTATATTATATTTCTTCATTATTTATATTACATTTAAAATGACCTTTTATTCAACCATAATTCTTGCACAGTTTGTAGGAAAACGCTTATAAACAGGCAGTTCTTAATTAGATCATGTAGTGCATGTAATAAATGGAGAGGGGTCAACTACTACTGTAGCTTCATCTCAGTATTACAGCCCTTTCTGCTCTGCATGTGTATCCGCTGTCCTCTCTTTTCCTTCTTTTCCTACTTGTTATGCAAAAACCAACAACAAGCTTATTCTACAGCTTTGTCTCTATCCTCTCTAGTGTGAACCCCGCCAGCCCAGCAGCAGCTGTAGCAGTGTTAACAGGGTGCTGGTCAGCTGAAGCTTAGAGAGATGTCACAGCTCTACTACCGGCGGACTGACAGCTCCTCATACCGGGACCGAATCCCGTTGAGAATTGTGCGGGCCGAGTCGGAGCTGTCACCTTTAGAGAAAGCCTACCTTGGAGCCGTCGAGAAAGGGGACTATGCGAGTGTCAAGCAAGCGCTTGAGGTGTGTGTGTTTGGGTGGAGGAATGGAGAAACTGACTGATAAAGGGACGAATTAATGCAGATGCATCAAGCTCAAAATTATGGATGAGGGAATGGCTCAATATTAAAGCGTTAATGTAATTTGATTGACGTGGAAGAGATTGGAAGATTCATGGGCAGGATGCAAAGTCACAATAATTGCTATGCATTTCAAATAATACGCAGGCTCTTTATAGAAACCAGTAGCAGAGACAAAGTGTTGGCAGGGAGCAGCTGCTTTGTAGTCCCGTAGCAACGGAGAGGCTGAAAATTGTAATATATCAGGACATGTCATCTAGCAATATAGTGACAAATGACATCACGATCCACAATAACAATTTGTGATAGTTTGCCCGCTTGGCTTGTCCATATAGAGATTAAGAAGGGACATCTGCATTCTTACAACTTCCTTTTTGTTGTGATATTTCTTAAAATATTGCGTGTGTAGGCAGCTAATGACAGAAAGCTACTTACAAAACAGTAAGTTAAAAAAGAAAAGTATAAAGTGTAAAATCAATGCAGCAGAAACATGGGGTACTCTTATTCCTACATTCCCCACAATTCAACATGACTGCCAACAGTTCAACTGGATATTGAGTTGTGTTATGCCAGCAGTAGTGGCGAGCTTAGTTTTGTGCTGCTAGTTTCAAATGCAGATACAAAAGAGAAGTGAGCTACAGAGATCTGGTAAACTCACTCCCACTCCACTCCTCCAGATTCAGAGGAAAAACTACAAACTTTTAGTAGCTTGTTCAGTTACAAAAGGTGCGAAGAGTTTACAGTTCCTTTCAAAAATGTTCATTCCCTGTGTGTCTTCCTCCGTAATCTGAACCCCAGAGTCCCAGAGTATGTCTTGAAACAAACTCTGGCTTTCAATCACTTTATTTTGGCAGGAGGCTGAGATCTACTTCAAGATCAACATCAATTGCATCGACCCCCTCGGCCGCACAGCTCTGCTGATCGCCATTGAGAACGAGAACCTGGAAATCATCGAACTCTTGCTGAGCTTCAACGTGTATGTCGGCGACGCCCTGCTGCATGCAATTCGCAAGGAAGTGGTGGGAGCTGTGGAGCTGCTGCTAAATCACAAGAAGCCGAGTGGTGGCATGCAGGTGAGGAAGGGACTGAGGAAAGTGGAAAGAGTTGCATATTAACATAAATTTACAAGAGCCACAAGCGCCTCTCTGCCGAGACTGTTCTCGGCTGTCCAGGTTGGAGACATGCTAGCAGGGAAACAATAGTTGACATTTATTTTCTCTCCAAGTTATTAGATTTTTTTTTTTTTGCTTTTCCAACGAATTGTTTTATGTTTCTGTCCTTTTAGTAGTTAATTGCATTTTTTAATTTTGAGTTTTGTTTTTTGGGGTTTTTTTTGCTGTTTTTAAGTGCAGTGTTTAATCCATTTGTGTGCCAGGACCTGTGCCAGTTTCATTTGTAGCCAACATAATAACATTCTCCTGGCTAGTACAGTGTACCATTTAATAAATGCACCGCCTTTATCACTTATCGTAAGCTGAATGCCTGCATTAATGAATGATTAACATTTTTAAAAAAATCCTTTACTCTTTATGTTTAGAGCATTACTTCCAAAGTATTCCCACGTTAAAGCTGCAAATGGCAAAAAGAGCCGGAATATACAGGTGCAGCTCTCATCCTCCCTTTGCCCTCTACTCTCTCCACCCTCAGGCCCTCCCACTAAAAGAGCACATTTGATACTGTGAGCTGCATCAACATTAAATTGAATTAGACACAGCTGTGCCTGATTGTTTGGATGCCATTTGCAGAAGGCTTAAATATTTGCAACATTCAATTCAAACATTTAACCTTCATCAACAAAACCTATCCAGTCACTATGAATATGGTTAGATAAAAGAGGGAAACGTCCTGCAAACACAGAATTTTGAAAAGTTTTCTTTCAGTGTCAAATAGAGATGTTCAAAGGTAAATCAGAGTCTTGCCACTGGCAAGAAATCATTCCTAAGCACAGCATGGTAGAGCAATAAGACAAATAATGGTCCTAAACGGCGTTGTATTCTAATTGACACCACATGCAAACTGACTAAGTTAGCAGTCCTGTTTTCAGTATGGTACTGTATTTTTCGGCTCATAAGGCGCACTGGATTATAAGGTGCATTAAGTGAAGCAAAACAGTCAGATAAGTCAAACTTTACTCAACTCACTCTTCTAGCTTCCTCCACAACATTCATTAATGTTGAATTCTCTCGCACCTGCTCTATTCCCATGTTGTTGCAGTATAATAATGACTAACCTTATATTTTGGATGGATTATCTCAGTTGTTCTCCTGACTGAAGTTTGGTCCGTTTAGAGCATCCTGCCATGCGATTGCATTTGTCCCTAACCATCAGGAACCCTCACACTATCTTATCGAGTGGTAAAAAGTTAGCGATCATCCTCCAGCTTCACTGTGTTTATGTTACGCTAACATAGCTGTGTTGCTAGCGATCACATAGCACATCATTATATACCAGCTAGTCCAACTTTAGTAACCCTACAAAAGTCACTGCTGTTTGGTTTTCTGTCTTCATTGGAAGTGATAGCAGAGCTGTACGTTTTGTTTTTTTTCCAGAAATCTCTCAGTCAGAACATGCTATATCATGTTTAGGTGGAAACTAGCGAGCTAACTTCCTGCTTACATCTAACTCCGTTAAATTTAAGTTCTGGATTTTAACCTTAATTGTTACACCGGGTAAAGCAGCAACATTGATCATTTTATTAAAGATGAAAGAATTTAGACAGTTTTTAACTCTCAATGATGCCGCAGTGTTTGTTTGACTTTGGGACTGGAAGCGGAGTTTGGACCCAGACCCCAGATCGGTGTGGCTTCGTAGCTTACCAAAATCATACCAAAACATTTTTGGCAGATTTTTGAGTGCCGTGTACCACATAAAATTAGTTCGAGCTCAGTAAGCGCAACCAGAATTCATACGTAAGGCGCACTGTCAATTTTTGAGAAAATTAAAGGATTTTAAGTGTGTTTTATAGTCCAAAAAATACGGTAGATGGATGATCATTATGAATGATAATTTAAGTCCATCTTCCTTGTTCCATATTGTGTGCAGTTATTTTAAATACAGGGTTGTTAACCTTTCCTGCACTATTGGGAAGAAAGTCTGTATGGATTTGCATACATAGTACGGAAAGCGCTCTCTCTGAAAACCCTGTGATTGGCTAGAGTCTCCCACCACACTCAAGAGTTTCTAAATAATAGTGGTGGAGCAAAGAGTATGTGCAGAGGTAGCTTCCTCTCCAACCGCTTGAATTACACTACGTATAGATACATATAAGGTTGTTATTGAATTTCTACCCAATGGCAGTAAAGGATTTCTGGATACTTTAGTTTTAAATCTAAAAACAACATCCAGCAGCTCAGGGACTTTCGTGACTGAATGATAAAGTGTGATTGCCAGTCCCAGTAAAGTACGGCTACTCACTGTATAGCTTATAAACTGAATGCAGTTGCCTGGAGCTTTTTAGACCATCCAGATTAACTGACCCAGTATTGCTGGCAACAACAAAAGCTGACACTCCAAAAAGCTGCTTCATAAGCCTTCTGTGTTTTGGAAAAGGAACAAGTCTTACAGAGAGAGAGGTTTAATGAGCATGTTCACTCAGAGAAAATACACTGTTTAATTTAGGTTTGCTCTTATTTACTCTAGGAAGGTTTCACATTAGTTTGTGGACCGCTATTCATTAATACTCCACTTATAGTAATGAACAGGAACAAAATGTGTAGAGCTTTAGTTTCCGTTGACTTACTGCTCTGTGTGCTTTCACATGCACACATACGTCCTTCTTTTCCTCTCCCTGTGAGCAGTAATGATGGAGAGATGTTCCTCCTGTTCTCAACCTGTTGCAATAAGAATTTTAATAAATGAAGTAAGCTCAAGTTAAAATTAAGTTGAACAAAAGTTGAAAAATGGAAGGAAAGGGGAAAATAATAAGCAGGGAAAGGCAGCGTGAGCTCAAAGAGAGAGATTGGGATTGTTTGTCAAATGGATGAAATTTCCAGTCTGAACTGCTCAGCTGTGACATTAATCAGGTGGAACACTTTATCTTAATGCCTTTGTAAGATAGTGCTTTTTCCCATCCACTGAGTAGGCTGTGAAAACAGATCACTCTAGTGCCACCATATCACTCCAATAGAAGCTCATTGATTATATTAAAAAACTCTTTGGAAAAAGCACATCGTATTTGTTGCCAGTGTCTTCTCTGAGATTTATTAATACCAAGATTCATTTTGCGCTTGGCTGGAATTGTGTATATTTGTCTCTCTATTTTAAGCCGTCTGAATGACATGTTTGTAATAATCTCACAAGTGTTTTGGCTTATTTGTTTTCTGCTGAGGACCGCATGGATATCAGCTTTTTAAATAGCTCCATGTATTATCCTCTGAGAGCAGATATGCATCTGTCAATGGCAAACAATGGATTTCACACAGCTTCTCAGTTGTATGACCTTCGGGTGGTTTTGAGTTTTTATTTTATTTTATTTTTTTTCATCTTTGTCTTTTTCCATCAGCCTTTCAATATAAGGGCGCTTATGGAAGGAAATCCTTCTCCTTCCTACATAACACAGAGCACGATGCAGAGTAAATGCATTCATGCTCGCTTGAATCTGAGACTTGAGCTTATTTTCCGCAGTGTAATTCAAAAACCGCCCGGTGTCCCATTTTTACACCAGTTCTATCTAAACATTTGTGATGATGTCGGGTGGCAGTAGAAAACCAGCAGGGAGGCTCAAAATAGAGCACGGTAAAAAAAAAAGTAACCGCACACTCTGCTGCTGCTGCAGATGCCATTGTTGTATTTTTAATCAATATGCTTATGGTGGATTCCCTATGAGTAACAAATATGTGTTACTCAGAAGAGTGGGCTTTTTATTTTCCTTTCTCCGCAATTACCATAGTTTCACATATATCAGTTTGCTTGGGCACAGGCCAAGGCTGTTTGATGTAGATTATTTGATGTCCCACCTCTTCCCACATGGAGAACAGAATGTATATACTGTAGCTTATTAGATCACCCACCTCTGCGAAATGTGGCGACTCTTAGACATGGCTCTGTGCCACGCTTTAGACTTGCTGCTGCACTGTGACTGCTCTGAGAGTAAGCTACCCAAGTAATTAGTGTCCCTGTGTGATATAATGATTTTTGGATGCTATATGAATGATGAAACATTTTGGAGAAAATGAACCAAAACCCCTGGAGAACAATTCTTCATGCTTTGTTCCTCAGTGAGCAGTGGTGACAAAGGCTTACTATTTCTGCTTCTGCTTGGCTGCTTGCAAGTGAAATATTTTTAAAACATCTCAGATCATGTCTTAACTGTGACTTATACTGTCATGCCTATAGTTGGTCTTTTAGGATTTAATAGCTTTATTTAGCTTTGCAAATACTAAAGAGTCTAGGTCTTTTTTTACTTTCTTTTTTGTGTACGTATTTTTGATAGAAAGAAATCTTTTTAAAATATAGGTGTTCAGCTGTTTTTAAACATGAATATGTAATCAGCCAACTACATGGCAGCAGCCTCGTGCATTTAGGCATATAGACATGGTCACTGCAGGCTGCTGAAGTCCAAATAGAGCATCAGAATGGGAAAAAAAAAGATCAAAGTGACTTTGAATATGGCATTGTTGTTTGTGCCACACTGGCTGGTATTTCAAGTGATAATCTACTGGGATTTTCCCACACTGCCATCTCTAGGGTTTAAAGAGAACGGCCTGAAAAAAGAAAATATCCAGTGAGTGGTTTTTCTATGGGTGAAAATGTCTTTTTTAACATTTGATAGAATGTTAAACCCAGATAGAGGCAGAATTTGGTGCAAAAGACATCAAAGCATGGCTCCAACCTGGCTTAGTTAGTGGTGGTGGTATAAATGTGTGGGAGGGGTATATTTTCTCGGCACACTTTGGGCCACCTGAGCATTGTTTAAACACAACAGCTTACCTGAGTTTTGTTGCTGACCATATCCATTGCGTTACGACATCAGTGTTAACACACTTGGTCGTAAAACACAAATCATCTCAAAGTGGTTTCCTGGATGTGACAGTGAGCTCCCTGTGCTCGAAGTACTCGCTGTTCTCCGCTGTCACCAGATTACAATCCAACAGAGCACCTTTGGGATATGGCAGAACGGGACTTTGTGCAGGTGCAGCTGACAAATCTGCAGCAGCTGCCAATATGGACCAAGATCTCTGAGAAATGTTTCCAGCACCTTGTTGGGTCTGTGCCACAAAGATACAAGCAAGTACAAGCAAGGTGCTTCCAATAAAGTGGCGCCTGAGTGTATGTCAGTGTTAGCACATACAGATCAAAATACATCAGAACTAATGGGAAAAATGCAGATATATCTATAGGGCATGATTTAAATGAGGAGTTTTGTTAGACTATCATACAGTGCCCTTTGCTGTTTTAATGGAAAAACACTGAGTATATAATTAACTATGATTGTAAGGGTTTAGATTGGCAGAAACAGTGAGCAGGTAATAACTCTGAGGTAATTTTAATTTACATAAATTAAATTCAGGTAGCTGCGACTGCCCTGCAAAGCCAAAACACTATAACTGCTGGTTTATATTATATTAATTCTGTATAATGCAGGACTCTTCTATCATAGAATCATTTTTTAGTACCTTACAAATAGTGTGATACCCTCCATGGGCCCATTTTGAGCAAGGAAAAACCCTAAACCTTAATCTTATATAAAATGTTTATAATGTAACATGCTGTTTTAAAAAAATAAATAGAAGTTGATATAACTTTAAATGTCACTACCACTTAAGTGGGTTTTATAATCTCATAATTATATGAGATTTTATAATGCTGGTCTACCATTTTTGCCACTGGGTGGCTGTGGCTCAGGTAGGTGATCCTTGGACAAGGTAATGAATGACAAGTTTCCCCTGATGTATCCGTCAGAGTGTCCGTGTGTGTCTGAATGTTGTCTAGAAGAGCTTAGGCATGGACTAAGGCAAGCACTGTATGAATGTGTGTGACTGAATCAGTGAGGCAGAAAGGCACAATATATAGTAAGTGTCACATTTAGCATTTACCATACACCACAGACCATTTCTACGCATAAACTCCTTATCTTAAGCTAATTAGCTTAGCTCGGCAGTGTGGCAAATTTCTCACTTGTGAGTCGGCATGGATGAACTGCATTTAAATTACCTATGCAATTCTGTATATATGCAGTTTTTTTGTTTTTGTTTTATTGAACCAGCAAGACAGCTTAAACAAAACTCAGTCTGTAGACTCAAAAGGTGTAAAATATCAACTACATTGCTATTTTCCCGGTGTTGTTAAAGTTTAGACCAAGCCTTCTCAAGCTTGTCTCTTTAGCATTCTTGGCAAAGCTCTTTCAGTAAAACCAGAAAGTCATAGTCCCATCTGCCATTATTCTGCCTTGAGTTGCTAAGCAGGTCCTTACCTATTCCATGTTTACCCTCCAATCATTCTTGAGCTGTCTTCTCTCTCTTCTCCCATTCTCCCTCACCACAGAATCAGATAACAGGCCTTCAATTAAAAGAATTAAAAAGGCACAGCTTACTCCTCTGCTGCCCGCACCTGTATTCCCCCTCTTGAATGATATGGGAATTGAAAAAGGACTTAGCTGGAGTGGGTGATAAGAGGGATAGGTAGAATGAGTTTCTCTCTGAGCATAATTCCCTCTGAAATGTGTTAAACGCTGATGCATCTCGCTTTGCTGTTACTGGTGCCCCTTACTAAAGCCTTGATATGGAAGGCATTTTTTCTTTTTCCAAGGAGACAATTTCTTGTTTGGATTTCAACTATCTTTACCTCCAGGAGCTAAAAGCCCCAGGTACTGTGCAGGTCAGCGTCTATTGTATTTCTTTGACAGCTTTGTTCACATGTGCTGTCATTCTCTCATCTCCCTGCAAAGGTTCCACCGATCCTACTGGACAAGCAGTTCTCTGACTTCACCCCTGACATCACTCCTATCATTCTTGCTGCACACACCAACAACTATGAAATTATCAAGCTTCTGGTGCAGAAAGGTGTGTCTATGCCACAGCCACATGAGGTGAGTGAACCATATCTAATATCTCTATGCAAGATACCATAGTTACACATATAAAAGTGTGGGTTCAAAGACACAAATTATGGATGTTTTCTTCTGTATACCACCACAGTGGATTCTAAAACAAACATCTAATATGTGCTTGAAGTGCAGGGTTTCATAAAAGTAATTAAAGCCATTTGCAGAGGCTCAGAAGTCATTGGGGTAATAAACAGTTTTATAACCAGGTGATGCCTGTTTCCTGGTTATTCCATGAAAACGTAAGTAGATAAAATATATGGATTTGATTACAAGATTAACTTAAATTTATTAGGTTTTAATTTGAATTCTCACTATGAGGTCCACAGAGATCTTGATGTGAGTGAAAGAGGCTATCATTAACCCGAAAACACAAAATAAACCTATTAGAGACATCGTAAAACTTTAGCTGGTGTGGCCAAATAAACACTCTGTTACATTCTTAAAAAGAAAGAGTTCACTGACCAGCTTAACAACACCAAAAGACAGCATTAGTGAGAATTATAGTTAAGAAAAACAAATTCAAAACATCAAACCAAGTCAGAAATACTCTTAAGGAGGCAGAAGAATCACTGTCAACAATCAAGACAGAGATAAATAGAGAGTTTTTAAGACAAGATGCAAACCACTGTCTATGTTAAAAAAACACAACAAGTCCAGGTTAGACAGCCTCTCCTAAAGAATTTAAGAAAGCCTGCACAGTTCTGAAGGGAAATAAAGTTACGATTCACTTGTGCCAGAATGATGGGAAGACAGGAGAATAAAGAAGGAGAGAAGCAGGTCCTGAACCGAAGCAGGAACATCATCTGTCAAACATGGTGCAGTCATTTTTATGACATGACCATGTATGGCTGCCAGTGGAGCCAGTTTACTAGTGTTTATTGATTGTATGACTGCTGATAGAAGTAACAGGATGAATTGTGATGAAGTGTACAGGGCTTTGCTCTCTGCTCAGATTCAGCCAAATGCTGCAAAACTGATGGGATGATGCTTTACAGTGCAAATGGGTAATGACCCGAAGGGTGCTACAAACGCAAAACAAGCATTTCTCAAGAGAAATAAATGGGAGATTCTTCAAAGTCATTTGCATGGTATTTATCCAACAGAGCATGCCTTTCAGTACTAAAGACAAAGCATCTGAAAATGGGGCACTGTGTAAAAAGATGGCTGTAATTTCTGAACTATTACTGTGATCCTATTGGTAAACCCAAGCTGAAAGTATGCACTTTGTTTAATTTAAAATCCAATGTGGTGGTGTATTTCTATAAAATGTAAAAATGTGCACATACATCTACAGGTTAGGTTGTCCCTTGAAGTTCTGAGTATCATACCTTGACAGAACAGCGGCTGATTTGCAAGACTGGAAGATGAGCCATTGCTAAACACAGAGAAGCCTCATTAAAATGTGTCCATGCGTCCACGTTTTGTTTGATGTTGCAGGTGCGCTGCAACTGTGTGGAGTGTGTGTCTAGTTCGGATGTGGACAGCCTGCGGCACTCGCGCTCACGACTCAACATCTACAAAGCACTGTCGAGTCCCTCACTAATTGCGCTCTCCAGTGAAGACCCCTTCCTAACCGCATTCAGGCTCAGCTGGGAGCTGCAGGAGCTCAGCAAGGTGAGGGAAAGAGAGGCAGCTAATAGTGGAGCTTGAGCATCAGTTGGTAAGATTTGATTCTGAGGAGCTGAAATACCAACAGTATGTATATTAATTAACCTTTTAAACTTTATATAATATGACTGTGTAACAAAAAAATGACCTTTCAATTTATTAGATAAGAATTCAAATAAATCCCTTATGTTGAATCTAATATTTAATAGGTTCAAGGTTCAAGGTTCTTTATTTGTCACATGCATAGTTATACAAGTATAACACACAGTGAAATGTAGCCTGACACGTCTTCGCATGTCGCAAATGTGTGTGTGTGTGTGTGTTGTGTGTGTGTGTGTGTGTGTTGTGTGTGTGTGCTGTGCGTGTATGTTAATAATATCAGATTACCTCACAGAATTATATATATATATATATATATATATATATATATATAAGATATATATATATATATATATAGTATATACATTGGGTGAATGTGCAGTAGTAGCAGCAAGCAGGTGAATTCTGTACATTAATATGAATAGACATCTGACTATTTTACAGGATAGACATATAAACATATTTAAAATTAAAGGAATTTGAAATGTACATTGTTCCTTAATAAGGATTTGAAAAAGGGTTATTGATATCTCCAGCTAAAATATAATAAAATGCTGTTATCTATGTATGTGCTCTACGATTTACAGACATTTTAGTTAGATAGGTTAGATAGGTCAACTGTTTTCCTCCAAGAGAACATGGCTAATAGAGGTGATCCATAAAAGGTGTATAAGCAAGACGTAAGAGATTTCCTGATGCAGAAAGTTATCTATTACTATTAAGTAATAGATAAACAATAACCATTAAACACATGAAAGTTCCTGTTTTTTTCTCTATTTAATATAGAAATTTATATTTTTTTTTTATAAAGGATCCACAGGAGCAAAAAAGGACATTTTCAGTGAATGTGAAGTATATCCAGGCAAAGTTAACAACAAAGTTAGACGAGTTTACATTGACAGAAAGGGGAGGTTCGCTGGTTTGGCCCACTTACGATCAAAATCAGCTGTATGTGTCCCATGATGTAAAATGAGTTTCACATCCCCAAGGCTTTTCCTGACATATTTACTCACATTTTACGTACTCCTGCTCTTCAGCACTACAGTGTTTGTTTTAAATCCACTCCACCTATTGCTTCCAGGTGGAGAATGAGTTTAAATCTGAGTATGAAGAGCTGTCCCAGCAGTGTAAGCAGTTTGCAAAAGACCTCCTGGACCAAACAAGGAGCTCCAGAGAGCTGGAGATGATCCTCAACTATAAAGATGATATCAGCTTATTGGAAGAGGAGGGCGCTAATGATCTGGCAAGACTCAAGCTAGCTATCAAATACCACCAAAAAGAGGTATGTGCAAAGTAAAATTATTATCCAGCAATGGTTGCATTGTATTGCATGTGTAATGTGGCTCCATGCTGTCGTGGGTAACACATTCACCTTAAATATGAAAGAGCCTCAGTTTGAGACCAGGAGGAGACACAAGCTGGCGAACTTGCTGTGCCGGTCCCAGCCCAGATAATTCGGAGGGTTGCATCAGGAAGAGCATCTTTTGTAAAAAGCCGTCTGCTGTGGCAACCCATTGGAAATAAGGGAGCAGGGAAAAGTATAGTAATATTCAGCCTCTGAATAAATACTAATACAGAAGTGGGTGTATGACATGAGTGTCATATTTTGATATATGGCAGGCCTTCATACGTTTAATTTATACCATTAATACACAGACATATGGTAATGTGTAAAATTCCAGATGGGCAATGAGATGGGTTGCTTGTTTGTTTTTTCATTGCCGGGGTTGCAGGAAGGGGAAGGAAGCAGAGAATGCCATCCTGTTAGATATCAACAAAATGATCTTTTGCAGACACACACACACACACACACACACACACACAAACACTGCATCTCAGTCAAGTGTGCCCTCCTTTACCTTAAGGCCAATGAGAGTCAGATAAGACTGTAATATTACAGCTGTAGCCTTCCAAACTGTGTAAAATAGGAAATCGTGCGGGTTTTCCACTAGTATTATTTTTCTTTCTGTCACATTGCTTAACAGTGTTTTCTTCGTGATCTATTGTATAGCTGTTTTTGTTTTTTAGATTTTTGTAATAAAATGTCAACCTGCCAAATGTGAGAGTTTTGCTGAACCAAGCCAACGTGGTCTCGTCTGTGCCACTGTGAGCTGATGAGAAGTGCTGTAATTATGTTATATTAGCTTCGGGTTTAATGACATGAGGTGCAAAGGTCTTATAAGGTTTTTAACTGTTTTCCCTTTGGCAGCTCACACAGATAACAAATGGGAATGAAGATGCCCGGATTAAATAACCAGAGTATTACAGTTGCAAGGCAACTATCTAATAAATAAATCCATGTTTGTATTGTAGCTGTAGACTGAATATGTTTGCTAATACCCTTAAAAAAGCATGTCAGAAATTTAGCTCAACATTCATGTTCATTGTTTAGGTTTGAGTTAGGGTCGGTTTTAAGCAGAGATGAGTGTAAACACAAAAAATATTTTATTTTATGTGCTGGAATGTGTAGAAAATAGGTTTAAATGTTAAACTAATTTATTCAAGTCAGAGAATGTTGCATATAATTAAATTTTTGCTTGATGCATAAAGTTAAAAGATTAAAACTGATAAAACAAGTTAAAAAAAGAGACTTTTCCATTTGATTACATTTTGTATGATGGATTATGCAGAAAAAGTAGAATTGGGCTGAAAGATCTATCGCTTTATCACCTATTCAGGTTGTAAATCGGGTTTTTAAAAGTAACTAAGTAATTAATTACTTTTGAAAATAAGTAATCAGTAAAGTAACGGGATTACTTTTTTGGGGAAGTAATCAGTAATTAGTTACTGATTACTTTTTTCAAGTAACTTGACCAACACTGGTTTTAAGTAAAGGAAAAGACAATGAACTGTTAATTACATGTATCCACCTTCCCTGTACGATCTGGAAAGTTTAATACAGAGCAACTGCTTTTGAAGGAGCTGTAAACATGCCATATAAACACTGATTACATTCACAGTCCAGATTTGAATTTCCTAGGGAGTAAATTGGGATCTTTTATTTAGCAGCTTTGTAGGCGCTGCATTGCAATTCAAATGGATGTAAATAATTGTGGTGGAAAAGGTCCAAACGTGGTAACTCCAAAACAATATTCAGTTTTCTGGTCTGCTGATTTCATCCTTTTATTTCCACTGGGATGTAAAACCTTCCCCGGTGGGTAGAGCCATAAACAATAAACATGCAAATAAGTTGATTTAATTCTTGTAAAGTGTATCTGTGGATTTTTGCATCTGCTCAATCTTCAGCATTCGTCTCTAATTAATGTGGCACTCCCCTTCGGTTAGGTCCATGTCGTTATGAATGTTCCTGTTAGTGTTAAAAGCTACCGTAACAACCAAAGGCTAATGCAAAAGCCGATCACGCTTTCCAGCGTCGGGATGGTGAATGTAGGAGATTTTTCGGTGACTTGCTAAATTATGGGATGGCTAAAAGCAAGAAGAAGGGGTTAAATTGATTTTATACAACAGAATTGTTACGCTGCATATGAAGGTGAGGTAGGAAATGATGAAGAAGCAGACGCATCCCTCCCAGGAGCGACTAATAATTCATTCAGCTGTCTTTAGCTGGGAGCCCTGCGTGGCTGTCAGAGATGATGCACTTTTGGGGGAGTCTCATTTTATGACACTGCTCTTTCCTCCTTCATCCATGCAGTTGTTGCGCATCAACAAACAGGCTGGCAGATGAGCATGTTGAGTCACAGAAGGACAGTTTGGGGCCGTGCGAGTGCACAGGTGGACATGATGATGGACAGTTCCCTGTCATCTTACCGAACCCCTCTGTTGTTGCCAGTAAATCTTTCTCTGCACACACTGTAAACAAACAAGCCTCGCGCTGCTTTTGCCGCAACTGTGCCTCCTAGCATCTCCTCATCCCAGCAGTGTTTTAATTATCGAGTCCCAACGTGCCCTTCTCTTGGATCGGCTATCTATAGCAGCTTTCAGTCGCTCCAGAATTTTGATGGAGAGCAGAGTGTCAAGGATGAGAGTAACAATCCACCCAGTCGCCCTTTTCAAATGATAAATGTCCCTGCCACCTGGAGTTGTTAAGAATCCTTTCAAGATGAAGTCATTGGAAATGCTCAGTCTGTGAGAAATTATTATAGCATGTGGTAATTTGATTAAGAAGTTTGTTGCTGTCTCTTTGCTGTCTTATTGTTGTAAAACTGCCTGAAAAGTTTCTATTTCAGTAAATTTAATACTTTCACTCTTACTTTTTTGTTCTCTTGGAACAGGGGTGTCAAACATAAGCCCCAGGGGCCACAATTGATCCACCAAAGACTCCAATTTGGCCGACTGGGCGGCCTTGGAAAATGTGAAGCGTCGCATTAATTTTGGACTTTTAACAACCTTTTCATATATTTTACAGGTTTTCCAGCTAATAAAGACCACCCCCACAGTCATTTTTGCTACATCAAAGTAATTTAGTAACAGATAAATGATTAAATGTTCCTATCTACTAGAGAAATTTCTTTATTTACAATGGATTCACAGAAAAAAGACAAATTTGTGTTTTATAATTACAGGACAGTCTGGGGAATGAGCTATCAGCTTTTCTTCCGTAATTTTAGACATTTATTTCTTACAACTTTAGCCCAAAGAGCAGAGCTGACAGATTTCTTTTCATTTTGCTATGATAGAAAAACTATCATGTGGAAAAACTGAGCAGTAAGGTGTTTTGTTTTATTTTTAACTCATTTTGGACTCTGTTTTATGCCTGATTTCTTGTTTGATTGAGGAGTATATGCAGCAGTTATGAAGGTAGTGCTTTTTGTTGTGTAGAAGAGGCAGAGTCATCTCGCAAAGACATGAAACAGGATTTTACATGAATTTAAGGCGCAAGACAATATTCAATAAACTCTAACCTCATTTGGGGAGATTTTTCTTCAATAAACTTCTCATTCGTTTGGAAAACGGAAACATGGCATGAATCGGCCATTAAAAACATTTTCATCTGCTGCTTCACATCAGAAAATCACATCTGTATAGTGCACATTTATGCGCGCACACATGCACACAGATAAGCAGAGTTCTTAATAGGAAATGCCTTTTGTTTGCGAGAGATGATCCGTAAAGTTTTGCCCCCAGTGAAGTGTTGAGGGTTAAATGGATACTTACTGGGGCTGGAAAAGCTTGTTTGTTCATGCAGAGAGCAGTTAGAGTGTTCATTGTCTGTGGTGCGATTTCTGCTCAGTGCTTTGAAACACTGGTTTCTGATCTGAAAACCTTTTAAAACTCTCACAATAATCACGACACTCAGTCTGCATGGAAGACTTTTTTTTTTTTTTAAATAGTGCTTTCTGTTTATGAATGTGAGTCATTAAAAGTCTGTTTTTGAACCTCGGCTGAACAAAATGAAGGACGTTTCTCATTTGTGTAAAGTGCAAATAGGCTTGTTTACATTTGTGCATTTATCCTCGCATCTGTGTGTGTTTTTGGCTCTGTGCGCTGATGTGCTCCCAGGGTTTAAAAAGGCCATTTATAACAGTTTGAAGAGAAATCTCCATAGGTTTTCTGTCTAAAGAGCTGAACTTACAGAGCAGGCAGCGCTTTGATGCAGCAGGAGGTCAAATCAGATAGATGTGATCAGTAACCCATAAACATTAAAGAGCAGATTATCTTCTCTCCCTGAAGCGTTCAAATGTTGATTACTTAAATTTTATACAGATATTCTTGGTATAAATGTAGGTGAGGTGAGTAGACTGAAAAATCACAGTACAAACATATACAGACTGTCTCTTTAATATTTAAAATTGTCTGAGGCACCGAGGGGAACCCATCAATTTTACATGCAGTAGTTTGACGTTGCCCCCTTGTGATATCTCATAAAAACTGCAATTCAGATTTTCAAGCCATCTTAATGTCCCCATTAAGTAGAAATTAAATTGCACCAAGAGCAGTAAGTGTTGTGTAGGGAGAAAACCATTTGTGCTCAGCTGATCCAGGAGCAAGAATCTGATTTAACAAGTCAGTTTGCTGTGACCAAAAGTTCAGCCTTTGTAAAACTCAGAAATAAAGGGAAGCAATAATTGTATCGCACATATGTAGGTTTAACAAGTTTGCAGTAGTAGGATCAACAGAGGGGCCAGATGGATCTCTTGGGTTTTCTGTCAGGTCTACTTGAATTTTTTTTTTCTTGTTTCTTAAGGACATGATTTTCAGATACTGTGTGTCTACTGTAAATAGATTTTTAGACCTCCCACTTCTTCTTTTGTCTTTAATTTTCCCAGGTTCCTGAAGTTTTTTAAGGACACGCTGCACACAATATCTCTTTGGCATCTTGTTGGTGAAAAATACTATACTTTACAAACCGTTTTATCTTTGTGTTGTGATGTGTTTTTGACAGACTGTTAGTAACAAAGTGTGAAAGATACAACTTAAATTTGTTTCTTTGCTAAATTGTCTCTTATGTTTACACAATATACTATTTAATATCATGAGCTATTTTTTTTATTGCTGAATGATTCATGGCTCAGTGTTAAGTTGCTTAACAAACAAAATATTCCTTTGAAGGTGGTCAGGTACAAAGACTGCACTGAAAAAAGAGCCAAAGATTTCTGATGAACTCAAAGCCACTTAGCAGCAAATTATAAAGAAATGCTCAAGACTTTTGCACAGTATTGCATAGATGATGGATAGGTAACTGTAGTGTGCACCAAAATCTTCTATAAACTCAAATCTTCCATAATACACACATTTTAACTATAATGACAGATATTAGATGTTTACATTTTTAGATATGTAATTACAGTTGCAACTCTGAGAGAGTAGTGGAGCAAAACAATGGATTTCATATAACCTGTATTTCAACCTACACCCATCTGAATGCTGTTTGCTTGTCACTGTGTGTCTGTGATAGCGACAAAAAAAACTTTCAGCAGTTCTTTTATGTCGGTAGAGCTGCAGGGGAACATGTCTTTGCCGAGCTAGAAAGCACCAACAGCTCTCACACAGTTACAGGCACTTTCCTGGCATTTTAGGCTTGGTGACAGGCAGTTTGCTGGGAGACATTTTTCAAACTGGACTTGGATGGTTTGACCTGTGCAAAAAAGCCACTTAAGGCAAATATGTCACTTTACTGCGGCTGGCTTTGGTAAGTGACTGCGACAGATGAGAAATGGCTCTACAATATTTCAATAGAAAGGTGAACTTTTTTTTATTTAAGAGCAATCAAAGGTACAGCCAGAGAGATTTTCTGTAGAGAATAAAACCTGTTCTTTTAACCTGGCTCTTAAATAAAATAGCCAGCAACATCTTACTTAGAACGCAGTCTTTTAGTTTATACCAGACAATTTAATTCAATCTCAGGCATTTATTACTTTCTAATTTCAGCCCACGTGTTGAGTAAATACTCACATTGATTTCCTATATATCATGTTAATTAGCATAATTTTCTGCCTCGCCATCATTGCCAGTGTTTAATGTATCGTGCTGATTATCGCAACATGACAAGAAGCCCAAGGAAATAGTGTTTACAGTTCTTAATCAGGATTAAGGTTCTGATGTTTAATTAAAGATGCAAGTTAAAAATAAATTCCTCTGTTTATAAATGGAACATTCAGAACTTTAAAGACCTGAAATGACGCAGGTTTGATGAATAAGTGACAAAAGCGGTTTTTAAATAGTGGTAAATTATATTTATAGCTGTGGTAGAATTTAAGACTTTCTATTTTTATCATTATTACTATTTCTATTTTACTTCAGTCTGCACCCATGGGTTCACTGCAGTAAGGCCCGTGCTCAAAGAAATCATCTGAAAAGAAAAAGTTGGGACTTTTTCTTCTCTTTATTCTTCAAATACAGTGTCGTTGTCTCTCACACACATTCATTCAGTCTTCCCTATATCTCTTTATCCCGCTCTCAAATCTGGTTAAAAAAAAGAAGAAGAAAAAACGAGTATACCACTTCTTCTTCTTCTCCTCTCATCCATAAAATTCAGCCCTTCCTATCCTTCTGCTCTGCATTTCCTCTCACATTTTCAGGTAAAACTGTAGTTGAAGTACGGAAATATGAGCCATTCTGCTTCAGACCCCAACACAGATAAGGATCTGTGGTTCCCATGGAAACGAGGCTGCAGAGTTGGTGAATTGGCACCCGCCGGTGCTGGTCAACACTTGATATACTGATATGGAGGCTCATCAGGATTTTTCACAGCATTGTGTGCTCCTGCATAATTTGCTTGCATATGCATGCATGCTCATGATGTAACCCTCATTTGTAGCAGAATTTGTTTTGCTTTAACCGGGTATGCCTCCATATACCTACACTCAGGCGAGAAGCACTGAAGCTAATCTGCTTTTCTGATGCATCGCTATTTTAGCGTTACTGAACATTTTATTTCTGCTCACTCACATGCATTCACAGTCATGTTAGGTATTTGTCTTTAAATTAAGTTCCAATCATATTCAGACCAGGGCTTTAAGAAAATCTCAGAAAAATCCTTTTTTAAACATGTAGAAATATTTGAGTTGGCCCACCTGCCTGCTTAAAGCCACCTTTGTTTCTGTAAGACAGCCAATATGTTTTTCAGTCTAAAATACTCATGCGTGTACATGATAACCCTTCAATTTTCTACACCACCAACACATCCTACTCAGTCTTTTGTATTCCGTTAACTGAAGCTTGCTACAGGTACTAATTCCAGGATACTGACACAAGGGCATGATGGTCGGTGTAAAACCTTTAAATAGTCTTAGGCTGAGGATGATTTTTCCAAGCAGGCCTATATGCCTGCTATACACAGCTAATGTAATAAAAGTTATTTTGAGCCATTTAAAAACCAAAAAATCAAACAGCATAGATGAAACATTTAAACCTCTCCCCTTCCCTTCATATATCCCCCCTTTAAGTTTGTAGCTCAGCCCAACTGTCAGCAGCTTTTGGCATCACGCTGGTATGATGAGTTCCCTGGCTGGAGGCGGCGTCACTGGGCAGGAAAGTTTGTCACCTGTGTCTTCATAGGTCTCCTCTACCCTGTGTTTGCTCTCTGCTACCTCATCGCTCCCAAGAGTCGCTATGGCCTCTTCATCCGCAAGCCCTTCATCAAGTTCATCTGCCACACGGCGTCCTACCTGACCTTTCTGTTCCTGCTGCTCCTCGCCTCCCAGCACATTGTTATCACGGAGCAGAACAGGCAGGACAGGCAGGGCCCTCCACCGACCGCTGTGGAGTGGATGATCCTGCCCTGGGTACTGGGTGAGTACAGTGGTTTTGTACTCTGCATTAGGATGATTAAACTGTTTGATAGTGTACTGATGGTGAATGTACTGGTGAATTGCTGAAGGTAAAAAAAAGTAGAGAGCTTATTTGTGGTCAGTTAATGTCACTAAATCTTTAAATATTGGGTTTAAATTACTCTTGCTCTGACAACCATACACCTCAGCTGATGTTTCTATGGAAAAGTCAAATCCAAACTTTCCAAACTTCCAAACTTTACAATTGTTAATGGGAACAAATGATTTTTCTTTAGTTGCTGATCGACTCCAAATACTACACAAAGTAGAACTGGATCAAAGTGCTGAATGAACATTAAGCCTATAAAAAATGTTATTTTTTCATCCTGCCTCGGGCATCCCAGCAGATTTTGAGCTCAGTGACTAAGTGCTTCTTGTTGACATGCTTTTCTGCCTTCCACAATTTTTACTATTTACTTTTTAGCCATGCTACCAACATGACTTTAGGCATTGACTTTAGTCCTTCCATCACCTTTGGTCCAAAATAATCTCTTCAACAACAGCCAACAAATCCAATGGGGGTTGTATCGGAAAGGGTGTCCAGCACAAAAAAATCTGCCAAGTCAAACATGCAGAGATGCCCACTGTGGCGACCGTTTCTGAATAAGGAAGTAGCTGAAAGTAGCTTTTTGATAAACTTTTTGTAGTTCAGGCATAATGTATTATTCTTCCTGATTGTTTTTTTTCTTTTCCTGCACTGCCATGAGGTTAACTTACTTTTCTTTAGTTTTGAGTTAAATACCATGTGTCCATTGAAAGGGAGATTTTTAATCTCAGTGGGACTTCCATCCTCTATTTATCCAGATAAAATAATGACAGTCGCATCCATTGAAATATCATGAGACTGAGGGTGTCCGTCAAGTAGAATTGTGAAAATGCTTTTTTGATTTTTTAAGCTGTTCAGTACTTTGGTTTATAATCAAATACAAAATTGAATGGCATTTACCACAGCCTTAGCTCTCTTTCATCATGTGTTCGAGCCAGCCTGTAAATGTCAACATGGGAACATTGTAAACTGTGATAATGAAATTTGGTAGACATGTTTGTTTGCTAATGTACAGTAGCTCACATCTCCTCAAAGGGCATGTCAATAAAATAGCCAGCCTGAGTCAGGGGTGCTACAGTAGCTGCAGATTGAAGAGAACATAAGGAGTATTTTTATCTTTATAGTCCTCAATGTTTTAAAATAATATGCAATCATATAAAATGCTAATACTGGACACATGCTCTGTTTTTGTATAATCTAATTTCTAGGATTCATCTGGGCAGAGATCAAGCAAATGTGGGATGGAGGTTTTCAAGACTATGTTCATGACTGGTGGAACCTGATGGACTTTGTCATGAACTCTCTGTACTTGGCCACTATCTCCCTGAAGATTGTAGCCTACACTAAGGTAACCACCAGTGTTGACAATAGACTAAACAGGCTGTGACCTTTCTGTATGCTCAAGTTATCTTTTCTTTTTCTTTTTTTGCTCATCCAGTACAGCGGAAGTAAACCCAGAAACCAGTGGGAAATGTGGCACCCGACACTAGTTGCTGAAGCAGTGTTTGCCATTGCAAACATTTTCAGTTCCCTGCGCCTCATTTCACTGTTCACGGCCAACTCTCACCTGGGGCCACTGCAGATTTCTCTGGGGCGAATGTTGCTCGACATCCTGAAGTTCCTCTTCATCTACTGCCTGGTAAATGTTTGCGCACGAGCAGAACAAAGACAAGAAGTGGAACAGTAAATTATATGTGACAGAAGAAGTGAATGAAGTTACATAATTTTGCCCACACACTGCATTTCTTTTCAGGTTCTGCTCGCCTTCGCTAATGGCCTGAACCAGCTGTACTTTTACTATGACACTAAGGCTTCAGATGAGAAAGGAAAGTGTAAGGGCATCCGATGTGTGCATCAGAATAACGCTTTCTCCACGTGAGTTTGCATGAATCCTGTCTTGCTTGCTCGAGTAGTGTGAATGTGTGATCTTGTGTGTGAGAGAGAGTGTCAAAGAATCAGAGAGCTGTGCGTTCGTGTATATCGCTGTTACTTGTTACAAAATGTGGGAACTCAGTCAAATTTTCAGTTGCTAAGAAAAGCTGGTGTATTAGCAGAATCTCATTAAAACTAAGTGAAGGGTTCCTTCAGTCTTTTTTAAACCATCCTGCAACTGAATACATTTTCAACTAGCAAGGACACATTTTATTTACTGCATGTATCTGTACTGTTTAGCAAATTTGGCTTACATCGCATACGTTGTCTTGCAGATTATTTGAGACCCTGCAGTCTCTTTTCTGGTCTATCTTTGGTTTGATCAGCCTGTATGTGACCAATGTGGATGCTGACCACCAGTTCACTGAATTTGTCGGTGCCAACATGTTCGGGGCCTACAACATCATTTCATTGGTGGTCCTCCTCAACATGCTCATAGCTATGATGAACAACTCCTACCAGCACATTGCTGTGAGCACTAATCAAAAACACTGCAAACAGTCATGTAAGTGTAACAGTTCAACCAAAACATTCATTCTTATCAAATATACCTCAATCTGATTTCAGGACCATGCAGACATTGAGTGGAAATTTGCAAGGACAAAACTGTGGATGAGTTATTTTGAAGAAGGGGGTACTCTGCCAGCTCCTTTCAACATCATCCCCAGCCCCAAATCATTCTGGTACCTCATGTGCTGGATCAAGAAGCAGGTGTGGAGGACAAGCTCCAAGCGCCCTGACACCATTGGTACCCTTGGGGTAAGGCTGGTGTCAAATGTGTTTGTATGGTTTTCACATACAGAGAGAGAAAAGGGGGGTTGGTTGGTTTGAAAAATGAACATAAGGAATAATAAGCTGAAAGATTTTATTGCTGTTATCTTTTTAACTTATAACTGAGAAATTCAGTTATATTAATTCATAGTTTGTAAATAAGTTGTGGTTGGAGGTTTATGACTTTACAAAGGCCATTCAAGGTTTTATCAACTCCAAAACCAGTTGATGTGTGTTTGGATCATTGTCTGGTTGGAAGACCCAATTGTACAAGTTTCAACATTCTAGTTGCTGATTTTACGTGTAATTGTAAAATTTGGAGGTTCTCCACCTTCATTGTTCCACCCACTTTGTATAATTACCAGTACCACTAGTAGCAAAACAGCCCCAGAGCATGATGCTATCACCACGCTTTTTGCCTGGTACAGTGTTCTTAGGTTTGAAAGCCTTACCTTCACTCCTCCAGACATACTTGTACCTCTTGTGACAAGCTCAATGTTTGTTGCACCTGACCATAAAACTTTCTGGCAAAGGTGAAAGTCTTAGTTTTGGAGCAGGGACATCTTTCTTGGACCCTCTCGGTCCATGGATGTAAAATATGCTTTACTGTGGAGAGTAACTATATACAAACTAGAGATGGACCGATCCGATATTACGTATCGGTATCGGTCCGATACTGACCTAAATTACTGGATCGGATATCGGAGAAAAATAAAAAATGTAATCCGATCCATTAAATATCACGAAAGCACCTCACAAAACTTGCAACACGCCGTAACTCACCTCAGAACGTTAGCACGTCGGAGCAGTATGCATCACGTGATAGAGCGGCTGTGGCATGCGGGACCTGTCGGTGGTCTGGATAGCATTTGGAGCTTCGCTAGCAACCCGCATTTCATCTCCGACAAAGTTATCCCCGAGAGAAGTAAAGCAAGTGTGTAAGTCCATCTCTGAATTTTGTAAAGCATTCCTGCGTTAAGCTTAACGAGCGACTGCCTCTCGCTCTCCGGCTGCTACTTCAATCGATGAAACTGCTAATCGATCAGCTGATCGGCTTTTCTGTCGCGAGTCCGTCGTCTCTTGTTTGTTTTGGCCCACTTTGCACCAGAAAGAGGAAACCAGCGGCTGAACAACAGCAGCACGTTTAAGCTTGATAAGCTGTTGTTAGAATTTATTTAATATTACTTTCTACACCAGGATCTTTTTCTACGTAGCTGACGCTGGTAACTGTGCAGGGGCGGATCTAGCAAAGTTTAGCCAGGGGGGCCGATAGGGCATTAACAGGGAAAAGGGGCACAAAGACATACTTTTCTTTCTTATTCTCATTTAAAATGTCTGAGCTTTTAATATTAATATTATCTGAATCTTACACCCAAAGTTTTAATCTGATGTAAAATGTATAGAAGTCCATTATTGTATATAGTAACTGTTAAGTCTAATATACCCTAGTAAGCTATAGTACTTTTTCCTTTGGGAAGAGTACCATCTGTGCAGTCTGCAGTTTTGTTGAAGAAAGATGTTGAATCTATTTAATTATTCTTGAAAAATAATTGATTTCTGTGTATTTTTTTTCACACTGCATCAAATTAAAGGTTGATTACGTCGATTAAGCATCATGAGGTGGAGCGTGAGGGGTGGTTCCCTATTTTTTATTTATTTATTTTTGTTGTTGCTGGGAGTTGGAACCCTATTAGTTAGGTTGCTTAATATTTATGCTAAGTACTCTTTAAAATACCAGAATAGGGAGGATGGTGTAGGTTTAAGTTTATTAGATTGATCAGTATTGCTGAACTATGAAATATTTTTTTTTGCATACAGGTATAACAGAATAGCTTTAGTGTAGTTGTTGTTTTAAACTTGAGTATGAACTTATACAAAATGCAGCAAGATATTAAAAAACAGTTTTGTTGATTAAAAAACACACTATATCGGATTCATATCGGTATCGGCAGATATCCAAATTTATGATATCGGTATCGGACATAAAAAAGTGGTATCGTGCCATCTCTAATACAAACAAAGTTGTTTGAACTCATAATGTTGAAGTCTGGAGTTGTATAGGAATGGCTTCCAGAGTGCTTCCTGATATGACCAGGCATAATAGCGGTGATTGAGAGCTGAATTTCCATGACTTGAGCTGAATTTTATTTAAAAAATAATCAGGCAACTTTACTTTAAGAGAGAGTCAAGATTTGCTGCTCTGCTTTGTCTTGTATGACACTAAACGAAATAACTCAGTGAAATAAGTGTTCGTTTCTGTAGAAAGTAGAATTTTCACTTTATTGCAGCCTAATTTTAGAGGGAAACTTTTTCGTGTTTGATGGCGCAGCACTCAGGAGACACACATATCGAGCCTCACAGATAGCAGAGTTTACAGAAAAGTGTGATACTGTGAAGAAAAACAAAATATGTTTTAGGTTGTTTTTTTTTTAACTCATCTCCCACTCTTTCTCTAACCAACCTCTGGCATCTGACGTCTGTGTAGAGGCGAGCTGCAGAGAACCTGAGGATAAACCATCAGTACCAGGTAAGTGCAGTCTCTTTGAAAGCAAGCTGAAAATAATTAGTCTCTCACCACTGTCTGTGTAAGTGTGTGCGGCAGACACAAATTGGCCTCTTTAGGTTTCCAGCACTCAGTTTTCATCTGTTCATTTTCTTAATTACTTTTACAAAAGGGGGGAGGGGAGGTGGGGGTCAAAGGGTGAGAGGTGGATACACACAGGGCAGGTTCAACACAGGGCTGACACCCTGAAGCGGACGTTCCATAAAAAGCTTTTATGATGTTTCACAAAATCAGCCAAACAACTGAACTCAGTAGGATTTAAATCGCTTTTCATTGTAGAGGAGCACATTTGTCTGTTTCCTGTCTCATTCATTTGAAGTTTGTATTGAATAAAGTTTCAGATCTTTTGTGTTCAAGATTTTTTTTAAATTATTGTAGGAGGTACTGAGGAACCTGGTGAAACGTTATGTGGCTGCCATGATTCGAGATGCCAAGACAGAGGAAGGCTTGACTGAAGACAACTTCAAGGTAGTCTTCTTGAATGAATATGACATGATTATGTTTGAGAGTTATTTATCATCATGTTTGTATATTTTTCTTTTGCATTTTGGTTATATTTAATCTTTTTTTCCATTATTGTAATGCGTTGACTGTTAATGCAAATCCTTTAAGGACATGCCTGGAAGTCATCAGACAAACTAATAACAGTCATCTTCTGACAAGATAATGATGATAAGACAATATATATGTGGATGTATGAGGAGATGGTTTAAGTGCTCACTAATCCAGATTTTCATCATAGTTCAAAGGTATTTAAAAGGCATTGTGACTGTTTTCCCTAGTTTAACAGACATAACCATGATCATACAAAGATAAATAACGCATCAATTATTAGTCTAGACTACAGGCATTTAGAGACATAGTGTTGCTTTGTCTCATAACTGTTTTTGAGTCAAAGCTAGCTAGCTAACTAGCTAGCTAACTAGCTACAAAGCTAGCTAGATAGCTTTTTTAGCTAAATCAATACAGCTCAGTTTTTGCTGATACCAACAGTGGGAGCTAGTAGTTATAAATTTCACAGTCAAGCTGCTCTTTGTTTTTTAGGAGCTGAAACAAGATATCTCCAGTTTCCGTTATGAGGTGATGGGAATGATGAAGACAGGAAAGTCAGCTTTAAATGTGGCAAAGGCCAGTGGCAGCTCAGTGGAATCCAGCCTTGCGTACCCTAATTCCTCACTCAAGGTCTCTGCTTGCCCACAGAGCACCCAGATGAAAAGCAAATTTAATCGATTCAAAATCGCTACATCCATCCTCAAGCTGGGCAGTTCAACAGCTGCACCCAGGCCACCTGAAGCCTCCAATGGTCTACCTAATGGATTCATGTCCCTGGTCTCTGATGAGAGCTCTGGTGAAATGTCAAGCCAGAGGAGAAGCAACCCCAAAGATGTATCTGACTTTGGTTTGTTTCAGAAACACCAAAGGGGCAACAAAGAAGCCTCATCAAGCGCAGCAGAAAGCTCGAGGGAGATGTACTCTTTGTCAGAAGAAGCAGGGGAGTGTGGGGACTCAGACTTAGAGGAACATATCGCTGGAGAAAAGAGTGAGAGGAAACTCCTGGAAACAAAAAAGAAGGAAGAAGTCGAGGAAATTAAGGAGGAGTCGAACAGCAAAAAATGCTTGGACCAGTGTGAAGAAAGAGAAACCGAGGAAAGAGACAAGGATTTAACCTGTACTGACTCAGTAGCTGATGAATGTATGTCTGGCTCATACAAAGACGATGCCTAAGATGTGATGTGATGCGATCAGAACTACAGGCCCAGTAATGCTGGATTGAAGACAGAGAGACTGACAATCAACGTGAGCCTCGAGTGAGAATTGTGAACATGAGTCGAACTTTTCCAGTTATTACTAAACTTATGATCAGCTTTGATCTTTGGAGACTCAGGGAGGCCTTTGGTTTAACTGTTTTAAACGCTGTTATATTAGCAGTGGAAATGCAGCAACATTGTTCGAAGCTCCGTGTAAGCATTACGAGGAATGACATTTAAGGATTACTATATTTCGTTTTATGACCCCAGAGGTGATTGGACAATAATGATTTCCTGAAAGAAAAAAGCTTTTTCTCCCAGCTGATATGTGCATTTCAGTTCAAATTGTCCTGTTGGTTACCATATAACCGTCTCTCTCTACCTCTTTTTTTCCCCCCTCTACCCATGAACATTTAACTCTCCCCACCAGTATCTTATTAGAGCAATAGATGTGTTCTGTTTTAGACGTGACTTTCTGCCTTACTCTGTCTGTTTCTGCACTTTACACACTTTAAAATGGCATACAGTTTTTTCAAAGATCGCTCAAACTCTGATCATTGCAACAGCAATTCTGTCAAAGTTTTCTATGCAAGAACTGTGGATCATGATTCTCATCACACTGATTAGGCCGACTGTAAATTCAGCGCTGACAGTTCATCCCAAGTATTTTCTGTAAAGTAGGGCGTGGCCAAACGATCTGAGATATACATTATGAACACAGCCGATAAATTATTTAAAGCAACGTATTATTCAAGTTTTGTCACTCAAGAATAAACTCATTATTTTGAACAGATCTGCTGTTTTTAACTGTTAGTTTAAGATGTCATGTTAGTTCGAATGAATGGCATTATAGAAACTGAAACATAAATCAAGAATAAATATAGAAATACACTCTTAATTTCCTGTCTCCTCTTTTGTTCATTGCAAATCCCAGACAGGCATAAACACAGTAACTGATACTGTCAAAAGTTAACTGTATATCTTCATAGTAGATCATGAGGTAATGCTGAAACAAATGCATATATATAAAAATAATGAAATGGTTAATAGTTGCTATGCAAACTGATATTTTTTTAATTGGGTCACACAATACCTTTCTATTTAAAGGAGTCAGACAAGCATCACCAAATGGTCTATTTTACTCTTGAGGCTCATAACAGAGCAGCTAGATTACTCACTAGAGATGTGGAATTATAGTACTCTGTAAAATCATTTCTCTATGCTTTCGAGGAGCCTGACTTTCTGGTATATTTTACTGATTTGGAACAGTGGTTCTCCAGGTTTTCTTGAGGTCTTTTAAAGTTTGTCTTTGTTTCTTTTGTTTAATGACTGCTTTTTCACTAGTTTTCAGGCCTTGTGCTTGATTATTTTCAGAAGAATGTCTTTTCTTCGTTAAGCCGCTTTACCCTGAGCTTTCAGTGTTCAATCAAGCTTAAAAAATGCACCAACCTCAAGGCATGAATCAGTGTTGTGTCTACAGATAACAAACATTGTAGCTCAGAACCAATTTTGTGTCGTGTCTTTAGGCTTTGTTACTTTGTTACTAGCAGCCTGGCTTTTTTTTTTTTTAAATTAATTAATTTTTTTTAAACACATAATTTTTGTCATTTTTTGTGGATTTTCTGTATTTTTGACAAATGACAAAGATAATATAGTTTGGCAGCCACGAAGTAGTATTTTTGTGACTTTCAAAGAGCTAGTAGCCAAAAAATGGGCATATCATGTATCTCCTTACTATCTACATTCAGATGAACACTATCTGAAAATCAGTTCCTTAAATGGATGTGGGCCTTCAGCTCACCATATACTGTTTGCAGAGTAGAGGTGGGTTTCAAGTAGTGCTTTGTCATACCATCAGTGATAATACTAGTATAAATTCATATAAAACTATTGTGATATGACTGGTATTAGCAATACCATGCCTTTTCTCTGTAAGGGTGAGGACATTGATCCAAATATCATTAGTATCAATACCAATGCTGGTATTTGTATCGGATCAGTACTAGCATGATAGGATTGATATGTTATTTCTATCCTCTAAGTTCAGTATCTAATCCACTCTGTTAAATTGATTGTGTGTTTTTTTGTAAATGAAAAAAATATACTTCAAACGTACACTACTTTTTGTGTTGGCTGTCACGTCTGTGTTATAGCCTATAGCACATTTGAACTACAGAAGAGGCACCTTAAGAGAATAATAATGGATTGGATTTATATAGCGCTTTTCAAGACATCCAAAGCGCTTTACAATGCCACTATTCATTCACTCTCACATTCACACACTGATGGAGGCAAGCTACAGTTGTAGCCACAGCTGCCCTGGGGCAGACTGACAGAAGCGAGGCTGCCATATTGCACCATCGGCCCCTCTGCCAGTAGGGTAAAGTGTCTTGCCCAAGGACACAACAACCAGGACAGAGAGCCCGGGGATCAAACCGGCGACCTTCCGGTTACAGATGCGCTTCCCAACCCCCTGAGCCACGGTCACCCTGTAGGGGCGCATTAGAGACACACATTTACATTACAGGTTTTCAAAAAAACCCAACAACCTAGTTTCAAAATACATGAAAAGCTCTAAAGAGGGTGATTTGCTGTGTAAACTCATTATTTTGGAAAACAAAAATCACAGTGATTTAATGGCCATTAAAATGTCTTCAGAAATTCCAAATTTGTGATGATTCATCTCAGAAGAACAAAGAAGTTGAAAGTATTGATATCAGTACTACTGGGCCTCTTTTTATTTGGTTGTGATATCAATATCAAATTTGAAGTGGTTCCCTGGCACACACAAAAACAAGACAACTTTAGGTATTGTTAAACTAAAGTGCTAAACTGTTAAGTTATAGTCTTACTTAAAGTTTCCAAGTGAAACACTACCTAAGATGTTTTTGTGCTTATTTCCGCTGAAATAATTTTCAAAGCTGGTAGCACCTCGGCAGTACATTGCCAGCTAAGCCTGTAGTAGTAGTAATAGTAGTTATTCTTAATGTGATTAAGTTTATGAAGTTTATCACCCTGTCAACAGCGTGAACAGACCAAACACTACTGCTGTATTGACATGTACTGGTGGTTAAAACACGTGACTTCCTGGAACAGATGTCACATAAGGTGAGCTAAAGTACTGTACAGAACTCCTTTCATGTTTTTCTCTTTTTGCCTCAGCAACAGTTGTCGTGAAATGTCATTTCCATTAGTTCACAATCAGTTTCCCAAAACCACACACTGCAAGGGCTAATTTGGCAACATTTTTGCTCCACTTTAACATCTCTTCTGCTCCTAAGAACATCATGAGTGTGAACATGTATTACAGTGATTATACACTTGTACAAAAAGTGGAGAAATGGGGTTTAAGCACTGTAATTAATAGAAAACCTGTGCTCTACACAATGTAACAGTAACTATAGTATGCACTGTCTGCATCATAAAAACACAGTTCAAAACTTTTACAATTTCTGTAAAACTATGAAATTATTTAAAATTTCATCAGCTGCCGCATATGTTTCCCCACAGACTGGATATTTTTTGTTTTCTCTGAACTTTCTGTTGCTTTCCTATTTGTGCTGCTTGGCCTCTAATTTCTAATTTCAGTGAACAAGTGACCGAGCAAGTGAAAAGGAAATGAAATATTCAGCAGCTGATGAAATTTTGCTCCATGTGGGATCAAAAGGCTGTACTGAAATGCTCCTGGGCTTATGATAGATCTTCCAACTTGATTGAACCAAGCTGTCACAGACACAGAAACACATGAATAGATATCTCCTAACATTGCATATTTAAATGACTCACAATTACCTGTTTTAACTGCTGAAGTCTTATACAGTAGGATACTCGTGGTTAAGAGCACTGATGTGACTTTTAAATATGACCTAAATAACCTGAAAAGTCTTTTACATTTAAAATTGAGTGTGATTTGTTTTCTCAAGGAAATAATTGATAAAGAATTAATAAATAGTAACATTTTGACCATTTTATTTAATTATAAGAAAAAACTATATATATAATAGGAGCAATTTACCTAACCCACAAAAAAAAAAAACATATGTTCAAGGATCTAGCAACCTAAGGACCAAACTGCAAAGCTTGCCAGTGGTTATAAATGTTCGCACACTCAGGGTTCTGTTAGATTTATTAGAGTAAAGGCTGTGCTGGCTCCTTGGAAATTGTGGCCCGCTCTTCAACACTCAAAGTCTAACATTTACTACCTAGTCAAAACTTACTAATAAAAATGTATGATGTTGTGTAAGGTTTTATGTAAGTCCCTGTCCTTACATATGACTGTACTGACAAATAATTCCCAGTAGGGGGAGACGTCATACATAGCACAAATTTCCTGCTGTGATTCCTGAAGAAGGTAGAGTGACAAATCCAAGCGCTATACTTACTGAAGTATAAGAACTGCTATAGATACACATGAGCTTCATTTATCGATTTTAGAGGATAACCTGTTAATATTAAAATACAGTTACAATTACAGCAAAATTTCAAAAACAGCGGACTCAAAGACAGAAAGATGTTTCCAAAGTCAGGAGACTCTTGGAGACTGTTCATCTGTCATTCATGGAAAGACAGAGGTTGTGTGAGTTCATAAGAGCGAGTACATATTTGCAGTTTCAGAGCAAAGCTGTCTTAACCTTTGTTTTTAAAACATAGTTCTCGTCCCAATCCCTAACCCCCTAACCCCTAACCTTAACCCCCTCTCTTACTTTACTATATTTACTGTAAAAGAATAAAACACGCACTCTTGGCGTATCCGTTTTCAAACAACAGCAATGAAAGAAATGGCTCTTGGTCCAATAAATCAGCCTTGTCTGAGTTGTCTCGACCTGCATGTGTAAAGTGTGACGCACACCTGTCGAAAAGTCAAGACTGTACACGAGGATGTCCGGAAAGCCTGTATTCATGATTAATTTATTCTTTGAAGCTGTATCAGATCTGGCTTCAATGGGGAGACAGAGACAGCTGAAGGGAAAAAGTTGAGCTGATAACGATGAACATGACAGCAGGGAGGATGATGGGAGAAGAGGAGCGCAAAAGGGAGTTCACGGGACGTTGATGGAAACGATGAATCAATGTGATAAAAGTTAAAGGGGAGAACAGTGGGGTCCCAGGGGAGGTGTGATAAAAATACAGTCAGGTTTCCTTCAAGGGTGTCAAGTAAAATACCAGACTGTGCAGATTCACCACAGTAGGTCTTCATGCATGATTTACACCTCTATTTTATAGCATTTTATATCAATTTTATTTACATTTTGTTGCCAGAAGTCTCATGAAGAGAGATCAGAGGTATGCTTAGAGCCCGTGTTTAGGTGTTATTGTCAAGCTAGTGTTTGGATCTGTATCTTAAAATCTGCTTTTCTTTATGCATCTTTATTGGCATCTTTTTTGATTGCAGTGCAAATTCTGTGGGTGTTAGCCTCAGAAAAAAATGAATCCTCTAATATTTTACATACAATGAACAAATCATCACTGGTTTGCATACTTTAAACACAATTCACAGTTTGGAGACAGGCGGGCACTGCAGCTTGTAAAGCAACGTAAAGTTTGAAGTACAGGGTGCCCTTGGTGCTCTGGGATGTGACGGTGGTCTGCAAATTCATGCAAAATTCATACGAACATGAGGGAGGAGGAGAGTTAGTGGTGGAGGAAGGATTTCGACTGAATAGAAGGGTGTATGCGGGTGGGAGAAGGATATAATGGTATGGAACAGACAGTGAAGAACTAAAAAGGGAGTGGGTGTGTTAGAGAAGCTTGTTCATATAAAAGCTCCCTCTCTCATTTGTGATCCCACATATCCCGTGTGTTTCTGTGGACTCCTGCTTGTGTGTGCGTGTGTGTGTGTATGTGTGCACTTGAAAGACAAGAGCAGTGTGTGTTTGAGCCCTTGCAGCACTGAGGACTGATAACTTCACAGGATGCATCGGCTTCTGGTGGTGACCTTAGTGTTGGTGGCCTTCTGCAGTCTGGAGACCACAGCTTTTTCAGCTTATGACAAGATAGTCACCCATAGCCGCATACGGGCCAGGGATCAAGGGTAGGTAGACTTTCCTATTACCTTGTTTGCAGGTGCAAGAACATAAATTGTATGATCTGGCAATAAACAGTAGCATTTGTAAAAGGTTAGACTATGTCAATTTTTAATATGGTTTTAAATCTTACTGAGCACTACAGTTTCATGAACAGATCAGTCATATTGATGAAAAATAGGAAATTCCGTTTGATCATCAACATATTTAACATGCAAAGATCAACAACTGAAGTCCAGAGAAATCCAAATACTGTAAGAAATAACCCTTTCTAAAAAAGTTTTAGTGTATTTCTTATTGAAATATTCCAAATATTATTAATTGTGTATTTATTAATTATGTAATTAATGTAATTTAAAATTCACATGTAAATCGAATAAGATAAAGAAGATGACTCTTCTTTAAAATCATATTTTGGATTAAGACTGATGCCAAAATGATCCAAATAATTAGTTCCGCCTCTTGGGTGGTTTTGACCTTACTGTAAGTACAGTAGACTTGCGGCGCACATTACTGTAGCAGATACTGTACATTAGTGCTTTGTCTGCTTGATTAATAAAGCACCATTATTACTTGCTGAAATAAATGTCTGCTAACTTGAAAAAAAAACCACAAAGCAGACAAAAAATGCACATGCATCAAATTTTGGTTTTGCGTAATACACCGTATGGACAAAAGTACTGGACCACACCCCTTTATCTTTAAATTCACGTGTTTGGGGTATAAAATCTAGCAGCTACTCACACAGCCTGTCCTTACAAACATTTGTGAATGGGAAAGGTTGTTGTTAAGAGCTCACTGAATCCAAGTATGGTACTGTGTTAAGACGACAGCATTGCAACAAGTCAGCTCATGAAGTTTCTTCCATCCTAGAAATACCACAATGAACTGTAAGTGGTATATTTGTAAAGTGGAAGCAATTAGGAACCACATCAACTCAGCCATGAAGTAGCAGAGTTGATGTGATTCCTGTCCTGCAGCTCTTAGTGTTTAAAAGCTACCAAAACTCTGATGACTGCACAGCTCTAAACCTCCTCTGACATTAACATCAGCACAGAAAGTGTGCGCAAGGAGCTTCATGCTTATCAGTTTCCATG